GCATCTTTGGGATTTGGTGGAACGGGAGCTTCGTGCCCTGGATGTGCATCCCACAAATCTCCATCAACTGCAAGATGCTATCCTATCAATATGGGCCAACATTTCTAAAGAATGCTTTCAGCACCTTGTTGAATCAATGCCACGTAGAATTATGGCAGTTCTGAAGGTGAAAGGGGGTCAAACACAGTATTAGTATGGTGTTCCTAATAATCCTTTAGGTGAGTGTATATAAAAAGAAATTAAATATTTACACTGCTACACTTAGGCCAAAAATACAAAATACCGCAGGCAAGTGTATCAAACTTTGCAGCGTCACTGGAGAAGCTGGCCAGCGACACTGTGGCAGGCCTGAAGGACATGCTGGAGTAACTCCTCGCTCCTGTTGGACTTTCTGCCAAGCAGAAAGACTCGCTTTGTCTTTATGAGCCTTTATGAGTCGTCTTTGTCTGTTTTGGTTACTCTTTCTCCAGCCCCTGTGGAGTATCCTGACCCCCAGGCTGAAGTGCAGGCCTTACTGGATATTCTTACTGACTGACGTTGCCTGTCAGCTGTGGTCTGGTCACTGGCCTCCCAGTGCTGGAGAGACGTGTCGGTTTCCGTTTCCCCAAAGCTAACATTGTGGGCTTTTTGATTTTTGACTCTTTTACTATGGAATGTCTTGTGTCATGCTTCACAGCATATAAGTGCAGAATAAATGTTTCTTTACCTTTCCTAGTGCAAAGTACGTGCATCTCCTAGGATACCACCTCTGATCTTATCTTGACCCTGTGGTTTCTACTGAGGCCATTTTTAAATGACCTCTATAAGTGTCATTAACATTTAACACCCCAGCTCTTGCAGCACATCAGCCTTGCTGTTTCTGTGGTTATTGTCACGCATCCCACACCCTCGCTGTCACACCGACCCAGATAACATACAATCCATTTAACCATGGCGATTACGGGGTTAAGCCCTGTGATCTTGTTATGCTACATATATTCATATACAAAAAATCTTTTGGGATAATTCAGGCGGATTTCCTCACGACAACAAAGCGGATCAACAGTTACAAACTTTCCAAACTTTCTCAACAGAGTTTGTCATGTATCAGTTGTATTAAAATGGTTCGAATGGTTGATTTTATTTAAGATGGGTGTCTTTAAGTACTAAAGAATTCTCAAAATATACATTAAATAAATGCAAAGGTTATTCTGATTGGGGCAACTGACTTCAGTAATGTCAGTCATTGCAATATATTACACACTGTCTCCCTGTCTTGTTTTCATATTGTTTTGTACGGTTTAAACCTTAAGACAAATCACAGCACGGTCTGTTGTTGTTTGGCAGAGAATCAAATCAAATATATTTGGTGAGAAGGTCTGTGTAGAAAGACAAGACCAACTAATAAGCAACAATGACCCCATGAAAGGTACCAACAAATACTAGTTCTGTGCTCAAAGTGGGGTTGTACACCTTTTGAGATCAAATGTCACAACCTGCCACACAAGAAATAAAACAAAGATATTTAGCTGTCAATAAAAGGCCTGTTTGTGCACAACATTTTCAAACGCGATTTAAAGGATACCACACTGTGGGCTGGTCTGACATCATTTTTACTGTTTTGATTGCATTCACAGATCTTTGTGGGGACCTGAAAAATGGTCCCCAAAACATCAGAAAAACAGGTTTTTCTTACATTGTGGGGGACATTTGGTCACACACACACACACACACACAGAGCAGACGCTCAAACCCTCTTGAACCCTAATCTCCAGAGGTGTGACATGATCATGCTAACCACAGCGATGCGCACCATCCCTTCACATGTTGCCAATAAACTTAAAATATCTTTCTACCCACTGGCTTCACTACAAACCCTTTCTTATATAAATGTGTTCAAATGGTATTCAAAGGGCAGTCTCGACTTCTGTTCTACAACTTGCACACAGGTACCATTCCTTACATTTTATTTATTGGTATTTTTTATTATTATTGAATTCTATAGATGTATTATTTTACTATATTCTTTAATTTTACAGATTTATTAATGTATTACTATATTTTATTATTTATTTTTACTAACATATTATTATTTTACAGATTTTTCTGTGTTTGGTTGACAATATATCAAATTAATATAATTTGTAATACATATATTTGAAGCTATAACATTACATACTGCATAATTATGTGTATTGTCATGTCACCTTGCTTCAGGTCCATTTTATTTTTTCTTAGACAGCTTAATTTGTTTTCTTGGTTTGCTAGATTATACATTATTAATATTACTTAAAAATTGCTTATGTATAGAAATGTAAACTTGCACACGTTATATAATTTTTGGTATTTCATACAGATCATTCCCATTGACCTATTTAGTTAGTTTCTGCACAATTGCAGTTCTCTTAGGTGCCTCGTGTGTATTGCCACTTCTTTTTTTATTTCTCAAAGCAGACAATTATGTTCTTTTATATATAAAAAAAGAATTTGGTTGTAGCATTTACAATATGCAGTATATTCCTTTTCACCTTAACTAAGTCCATCATCACTGTCATACAGTGTGAAAACAAGTCTGACTGCATCTGTTAATTCCATTATAACCTATAGGCCTTTCATTCAGCACTGGCAATAACATGCCATAACTCCCTGAGATTTTTTCACAATGATCAGTGTGATGAAGCAGTGCTTGACTGCTTAGGTAAGACACCATTAACACACAACAGTAGGGTTACAGGGCGTCAAATGCAAACCGGAATGTAGCAGAAAGGTCATTGTCCTCATGTTGACCCCTTGAACAAACCTGAATTGTATAATTTGCCTACTGCCGTTTTCTCACAGGATGATTTGGTGTGGCGGTGTTCTGCTGCTTCCCATCTTGGCGCTGGCCAACTTCACTCAGGGTCCTTCGCTGCTACTGGACTCGGAATGGGAGAGCTGGAAGACCGTCTATGAGAAGGAGTACAACAGCCGGGTAGGTTCATGCACGATGATAGAGAGGTATGGCAAACCTGTGAAGGGATACCTGGAGGAAGGAGATATATTAACATTCAAGCAGATCAATGACAAGTCATGTATCAGTGTTCTGATGACCTGACGGCACAAGCTGAGCTTCTGGCTGTGAATGAATGAGCTCACCATAGCCTGGACCACTAAGAACACTGTTAATGATTGGGCTGGAACTTTCAGGAGGAGGAAGGAAGCCGGAGGTCCATCTGGGAGAAGAATATGCGACTGATTGATGCCCATAACCAAGAATACAAGCAGGGGATCCATTCCTATGAGCTGG